AGTAGGTAGTAGGTAGTAGGTAGTAGGTAGTAGGTAGTAGGTAGTAGTAGTAGTAGTAGTAGTAGTAGTAGTAGTGGTAGTAGTAGTAGTAGGAGTAGGAGTAGTAGTAGTAGTAGTAGTAGCTTTTGAAAGTCCGTAACACGGAAGTTTTGCACCCCAAACTTCCTTTGACGAGGAGCAAAGTCAGCAAGCCAAGATCGATTCAATCCACACCAATGACACGCAGAAAACGATTCAGCAAACACACAATCCCTCGTTCTGCTTTGGGGCTGGAGGAGTCCCTCTAACACGAACTCCAACAATCTACGCAGCCACCTGACAGCGACTGCCTTGGTTAGCTCGTCCACTTCCTATTTACAAGAAGGGTGTCTGCCGTGTGGTTTGGCAAATCCGAACTTTAGCTGACAGAACAACGGACTCAAGTCAACCAAATTCACTGGTGGGAAATGCGCAAGGGGCTGCCGGGCAGTAGCTGATGCTCTCAGGCTCATTTGGGACTGGAGTTGGCCCTCTGCAAGCAAGAACCTTAAACATTTACAATGTGGTGCGCTACAACCATACTTGAACTTCGAAGGCAACTAAATAGCAGCACAGCTGCAACGTGACACAACGCGGCTTTGCCTGGCCCATTGTCCTGATCTCGTCCACCGCTTGAGCAGCCTGCCACGCTAGCTTGGAAAGCACAGTCACTTTTCAATCAAGAAACATGCGCTGCAACGACCAGAAAGGCCAAAGGCAAATCCCCCTTGATAAACCAGGTTATGTTTGTTGCTGTGCAGCTTTGCTGCTTCAGGGAGCAAGGACAATGCGACAATCAAAGCTGGAAAGTATCGAAAAATGAACCAAACTGCAGAATACACGTGCCCGATACCAAAAACAAAGGAGCACTGTCCTGCAACCAAACGAAGGAAAGTGGCGCAGCCGGACTTGGACCACGACTGCTTCCCCGACTGCTTCCACCTGCTGGTCCTTTTCATGCAGGGCCTGCAACGCAGCGACAACTAGCCCAGAGCAAATTTCTCTGATGGCCACCTGGGTAGAACAACCATCCTCTCTGCTGCTGGACAGAGAAACAGTGAACAACGGACTCGGGTCTCAGTTCAACCAAACTAGCTTCACTTTGTGACCCTCTGCAAACGAGAATGCGAAACATTCACGATGCGCTCTGCTACAACCAAATTTGTACTGAGAAAGCAATTGAATACCAGCAGGGCTGCAACGTGACATAACGTGACTGCCTTGGCGTGGCTCTCTTCTCTGGCTGCCAGCATCTGCTTTAGATCGTCAATCTCTTGGCGAGCCTGCTTAGATAGTGGACAAATGACCAAGAAGGCTTGCATATGCTTGCATATCATTGCAATGACCAGAAAGGTCGAAGACACAACCTAGTATTTTGCTGCTGTGCAGCTCTGCTGCTTGAGGGAACAAGAAGATTGTGTCCACAAAAGCCGGAAATGAATCAATTTGGAGAATACACTTGATACCAAAAACAGTGGAACAATGCCCTGCGTAGAACAACCATCCTCTCTGCTGCTGGCCAGAGAAACGGTGAATAACGGACTCGGGTCTCAGCTCAACCAAACTGGTGGGAAAGGTGCAACAATGCACATCTCCACAAAG